GGAACGCGGTTAGGCAGGGCTGGGCTGAGCCCTGCCCCTCCTCGGGGGTGTGTGAGACCACGGAAGCTTCATTGGAAAGCAGGAGAGCAACTATCTTCCTGCGTGCGAGCGTGTCTAACGCTGAGGCAAACACCAGGGAAATAATGCCCAAGTGCGGTGATGTTGCGTTCTGCCCGATTTGGCCGGGCCGGTGTGGCAGCTGGAAGCCCTGCGGAGGAAGGGGCCTCACTCGGTGCAGAGGCTTTGGTGTTAAGAAGGTACTCGTACCATAAAGCAGCATATCATTATTCCTGTAGCAGAAATGACATGTGGGCTGATCCGAGGAGGATCTCTGCAGAAGGCTGTATGAAATAACTGGATCTTTCAGCCGAGCAATTCCTGAGTAGATGTGGAGTTCGGGCACCTTCATTTGCTTGCGTAGCCGGGCTTTCACAGCTGAAAGGGAGATGATTTATCTGTCAGTTGTTGCAAGAAAACTGTCTACATGGCCAGAAAGACTTTAAAATGGATCTCTGCATGGAGTGGCATACAGATCCAATGGTGCTTGCACAGAAGTGGAACCTTAAAGCACAGTTAAAATAACAGTACCCCTAGACATCCATTCTGTCATTGTTATCATTATTTGTTATTCCTTTATTACACCTGCTGTAAAACTATGGAAATACACCACTGAAAATCGGGATAAAGCTCTTGACCCGGGACTTGAATAAACTATTATCCTAAACACTTCAAAAGCTAAATTCAAGGTATAGAAGAAAGGTATCAGAAGGAATAGAAGAGTCTTACTGTAAGGGCCGTGTAAGGGTCCCGAGCTGAAAGCCATGGTTGCTGCACTTGGCTGCATGGTTCAAGGTATTTGTCACCTGTGAGGTTGATTTAGTTGGGAAAAAAACCAAACCAAACATCACAAAGGCCATCCTTATCTGATTCCTCAAGCAGACCCTGGGGTCTGCCTGAGAACATATTTCTGTATGGGACTGTGAGCACAGGAGGAGCAGCTACCCAGATGATAATGGAACTGCTGAAGGATGCATCTCCTGTTTGGGATGGATATCACGTTTGCAGTAAGTGGTAATGGGTTGGGGGCAGATATGACTTTGGATCATTGCTGTGCTGCAGTCAGGAGTATTGGAATCTTGGCTCTCGCTTGATGAGGCACTTTATTTGATTAAAGTTTCCCTTTTAATCAGAGATATGGTCATTTCCCGTCTCTAAAATGGAATCTGGCTCTGGGGGTCATGTCTGGATAATAAAAGGACTGGTTCTCTTGTCTCAGGGGAGTTGATATCGAATTTATTACCATCAAGAGAAAGCAGAATTATACTTGTAAAATGTTGCATAATAAATTTAGCCTCCTTAGTAAATCAAATCAGCGGATACCCTTATCTGCAAGAGATGCGTCATCGCTACGTGAGCTTCTTTGACTAGGCAGAACTAATGGGGAGAAAATGTACCTTCAAACGTGGTCCAAGTTGAGGGACTCACAGTAAATTAAAGTAAGAAAAAAAGTCTCCCTGGTGTTTGGCTTAGAAATTTATAATTATGTTTGGGAAGGGACTTCAAGGTGAGATGAGATGACTTTTAAAATTTTGTGCTTTTATCCCAAAACCCAGAGAGATGTGGCAATTATTTAGTTTGAGAGGAGGAATGCGGAGGAGGTGATGTACTTCATTTGTCCTCCAGTGCAGAACATTCGGTTTCAAAAAGCCACTGTTAATGTCAAGGAGATAGAGAAGATTTTAGGCCTATGTAAAGAGCAGAGTTGGCTGCACCAGGACTTCTTATCATTGTCTTTGTTCTAGAGGCTGGAGATGAAGGAAAAGGAGCTCGTGATGACTGTTGAACAATAAAGAGGAATTTATTATTGAGTCCAAAAGAAGCCCAGGGCCTAGGAAAGGATACTTAAGATCTTCAAGATTTCAGAAAAAGTCCCCCCAAAAATATATAACCTATGTGAGCATGTAAACCTACGTGTCTGATGAAGGTATCAGTTTAAATTGAACGTGAGGGGAAAATGAGGGTTAGTATGACCAGTTGGTCACAATTTTAACACTCACTTTAGTTTAAAAAGGAAGACCTACCTGCATTGGGAATTTTGAAAAATGAGAAGGGTTTCTCTCCAAACATCAAAATAAATATCTGAGTAGTTAAACAGATAAAATGACTTGTGTACAGCCTGCTCTTGCTTGTCCTGCTACCTACTGAATTGATAGTCCTTGAGCTCTGGAATGACAGTTGTTTTGATGCTGATTTTGATGTTTTCTCTGTGATTTTACAGAGAAAGAGGGAGAGGTGCAACAACTGCTGTGATGCACTTGAGTGTCAAGAATGGACTTAAGTTAATTGTGCATCCTTAGGAGCCTTCCACAGGAGAAAAAGTTTTTGCTGTGAGATGTCCAAGCACAATGAGTCAGAGACTTGCAGAGTTCCACAGGTCTGCAAAATATTAATATTCTTAATAGCCTGAGTACTTAGTGTCTGCAATAGAGACTTGTCCTCTTAAGGATATGACAATAATTTTTAGCACTTAGGACTAAACTAATTATGTGTTTCTTTTCTGATTAAAAGATCTGATAATCTGATTCTGTCACATAGGAAAGGCTCACCTAGTTGGACAAGTATGTTATAATATTTAGAAATGTGGTAGAGGAAAAGGGAGGAGATAGAAGATAAGGTCCATTTTCAACTTAATTTCAAAAGCGTTTTTGTGCAGAAAATGATTGGGATGGCAAATGGAAGTCAATAAGTTATTGTCATGAGTGGAATTGTTGAGAAAACATTGGATTTTTTGCCTTGGCCATTAACATATTTGTGTATGTCAGTAGTAACTGAGGTTCCTGCCCTTCCTGTCGGGCACAGATGGACAACATGGGTACAGGCAGGGGCACACAAAGGCATGCAGAGGAGCTTTGAAGAGCAGGGGAAAGAGGGAGTCCTGGCAGGGGCTGGCAAGTCCCATGGCTGGTGGTGCCATGTGATGGCACTGGGCAGGTCTATATCAGGCAGGGCTTGGTGTCCCTGGTCCTGCTGTGGGTTCCTCCTGGGCTAGTTGGCAGAATTGGCTGGGCAAGCCTTAGCCCCTTCAGCCAAGGGTGCTTTTGGTGTTGGTGGGAATAGCCATGAGGCACAGCCTTCATGTGGGATACAGATGTAACGTGGGATGAGGATTGTACATGAAAATGTGCCTATCCATTTCTGTAAAAGTTTTGTTCAATAAGCAAAACTGCTCTTTTTATAAATGGTTGTCATAACCCTTTTTTTTTGAGGGGTGGTAAATGATCAGGTTTTTTTTTAATTGATGTTATATCTATACTTCATGCTGCTTCATTCTTTGGCAGTAATGCTTAGAGAGAGACAGAAAA